TGGTAGTTTTGGCTTTTATTGAGTAAAGAGAACTCCGAATTCCTCCGTAATCTTTGGCTAGATATACTATTGCCATGCAATCTACAGTCCCTAAAAATCAATCAAAAATTTAAAAAAAAGAAACAAAGTCTCTTAAAATTCCGATCTCGCTACCGCAATCCTCAGATAGTTATCATGATGATGAAACCGATAAGCGGCAGGTATGGCTTCATCAGTGGCCCAATGATTGGTGTACTGAGCATATAGTCCACAATCCACCAATAAACTTTGAACTGCAAGCGACCCCAGCTGAGCCTGGTTCGCGACACCTCAATCTTACCGTCTTCCATTCGTTGCCGAGCTATATCCACTGCTGTCTGATTGCATACCTAAATTTTTTGCAGTAAAATTATAAAATAAACTTTAGAAATTAGTGTAGGGTTCCATGTTACTGAGATGTGCTGACCAGATTGGCGCCGCAACGCCAGCTCTTTTGATTTTGAGCTACACAACTCCATTTTGCACCTGTGTCCCGCATTCCGTATGCGCGCCACTTCTTAGAAAGCGGTCCAATTGATTTTGCCAGTCCCCTGATGCACACCGCCACTAACTTTAGACGTTCTAGAATCAAAGCGCTCTGCACGAAACTGCAGTCCTTAAAGACGCTCTGATATGCAAAATTAGTAATAGCTAATGAAGCGAACCCGGTGATTGTCTTCGTTCATGAAGTAGAAGCCGAATTTAGCAAGTTGCATCAGTTTCGAGCCACCATCTGTCTCACAGTCCAGCTGCATGATGTATGGTGGGTCCTCCTGATCCGTATACATCCATTCCCAGGAATGCGCTATTCTGAAACACTTTCTCAGCTAACGTAAGAGTTTTTTTTTAAGCACAACCGCCATACTTTGAGCAAATCAAAACAACCTCAATTATTTATTTATATATTTCCCAACATTTATTTGTTATGAAAGTCACCCCCGATGCTTGGGTTAGGGAAATTGTTGAGCTGGTAAACAAACTAGGATCTGGTAGAAACATCAGGATGGTCAACAGGCTGACCGCCAAACGATGAAGTATTGGTCAAAGCAACTGAAAAGTTTGGCAGCTACACGTTGGAAAACCGGCTGTGAGCTGCACCTGATCAGAGTATCAAAGT